GCCTCTAACTACGTAAGTTAACATAAGATAAGATAAGATAACATAGATAAGATAGATAACGATAACCACACACATCGTGCTCAGCTGGAGCCCCCCGCCCGCCTCTAACTACGTAAGTTAACATAAGATAAGATAAGATAACATAGATAAAATAGATAACGATAACCACACACATCGTGGTCACCTGGAGCCCCGCGCCCGCCTCTAACTACGTAAGTTAACATAAGATAAGATAACATAGATAAGATAGATAACGATAACCACACACATCGTGCTCAGCTGGAGCCCCGCGCCCGCCTCTAACTACGTAAGTTAACATAAGATAAGATAAGATAACATAGATAAAATAGATAACGATAACCACACACATCGTGGTCACCTGGAGCCCCGCGCCCGCCTCTAACTACGTAAGTTAACATAAGATAAGATAAGATAACATAGATAAGATAGACAACGATAACCACACACATCATGCTCAGCTGGAGCCCCGCGCCCGCCTCTAATTACGTAAGTTAACATAAGATGAGATAAGATAATATAGATAAGATAGATAATGATAACCACACACATCATGCTCACCTGGAGCCCCGCGCCCGCCTCTAACTACGTAAGTTAAGATAAGATAAGATAAGATAACATAGATAAGATAGATAACGATAACCACACACATCGTGCTCAGCTGGAGCCCCGCGCCTGCCTCTAACTACGTAAGTTAACATAAGATAAGATAACATAGATAAGATAGATAACGATAACCACACACATCATGCTTACCTGGAGCCCCACGCCCGCCTCTAACTACGTAAGTTTAGAGAAGACTAGCTGGGTACCCCGTTCGATGAACGGACTCAATCGTCAGGTCATTGTGGGTCCAGTGCGCTGTGCATGTGGACAGAGGTCTTAATTTTTATATCATGAAAAACAAAATATGTCTTGAACATTGCATTGAAATGACAACCGAGGAAATCGTAAACGGCCGATAGTGTTTTCTATTTTTCTAAAAATTTTAGGCGAATGCAAGCACTTACTGAATTGATAGAAACTTAGCCTGGTCTTTGAACGACCTTCAGTCATTCTTTCCTGGTTGTACGTTCTGTAGTTTTATCAGCTATAGAAAACAACAATCCACATGTGCGCAATTATATATATAGATAAGATGGATAAGATAGGTAAGATAGATAAGATAGATAACAATAACCACACACATCGTGCTCACCTGGAGCCCGGCACCCGCCTCTAACTACGTAAGTTAACATATAAGATAAGATAAGATAACATAGATAAGATAGATAACAATAATAGTTTTAAGTTATAATGATGATGATAATAATTATAAAAGTTATAATAATGATACTACTACTACTGCTGCTGCTGCTGCTGCTATAATAATAATAACAATAATAATAATAATAATAATAGGCCAAAGGGCTGGAACTCTGATGGCCACTGGATTGGAAAAGTAAAGTAAAAGTATTTTGGTAATAATAATTGCATTTATGTAGCACATATCCATGCTGTATACTATGCTCTATACACTTTACAACTATTAAAAATAAGATCAGATCAGATTGATAAGATAAGATAGATCAGATATAATAAGATGATAAAACACAATAAGAAGACCTAGGTAAGATAGATACGATGCGTTAAGATAAAATTAGACGAATAATGTCAAGACAATATAAGACAAGACCCCACCTCCCTACACTCCCCCCAGCAACACCCAGTGGCGGTGGGTGGACTAAGATTTGGGAGGGGCTTGGGTTTCTTCCACTTCTTTACCACTAAATAACAAGCAATAATAATAATAATAAATAGCATTTGTATAGCGCATATCCCCGCTCACCAGCAGGCTCTATGCGCTTTACACTATATTATTACCCCAGCAGACCTTAGAACACTCAGAAACATTCTCAGCTTCCCGGGAAGCATACAGTGCAAGCAGCCGATTAAGCGCTCAAACACTAACAAACTGACAAGATCTTTCGCTGTCTATAGCCGGGTACCCATTCGCACCTGGGTGAAGTGAGGAAAATTCGTGTA